CAACTTGTGCTCAGCTCCTGGGCAACTGGATTTTTGATCATCTTTCCCCCTTTGCTCTTGGGACTCAAGCTGGATTTCTGTGCTTCCAAGGTGATTGATCATTTCCTATGTGACACTTCTCCAATCTTACAGATCTCGTGCACAGATACAAGTTTCATAGAATTGTTGGCTTTTATTTTAGCTGTGATGACGCTTGTTGTCACCTTGTTATTAGTGGTCCTCTCCTATACATTCATCCTCAAAACTATTCTAAAATTCCCTTCTGTTCAACAGCGAAGAAAGGCCTTTTCCACATGTTCCTCACACATGGTTGTCATCTCTATTACTTATGGGAGTTGTATCTTTATGTATATAAAACCATCAGCAAAGGAGAGGGTGACAGTAACCAAGAGAGTAGCTGTGCTCAATACTTCTGTTGCCCCTTTACTCAATCCTTTCATTTACACCTTAAGGAACCAACAGGTAAAAGAATCTCTCAAGCATGTGCTTCAAAGGCTTTATTCTTTTCAAAACAGTGAAAAAAAATGTATACACAAATAATATGGTGTTGGATTATGAATGATAGAATTGAATATAATCCCCCAAAGGATTAAAAGAATCATACCATAGTGAATATGTGCACCTATGTTCATAGCAGCACAATTCGTGATAGCTAAAACTTGAAAGCAACCCAATTGCCCATGAACTTGAGACTGGATAAAGAAAATGTGTGTGTGTGTTTTTAATAAAATGGAGTATTACTCAGCCATAAAGAATGAGAAACTAGAGATATTTATAGTTAAATGGATGCACACTGAGGCAATACTCTTAAGTGAAATAAATAGGACACGTGTAAATACTGAATAGTGTCTCTGGTGTGATAAACTGAAAGTGTAAATAAGGACTAAAAGTTATAACAGATAATTTGATGTCGGAGGAATAGATGCAGAGGGGAAGAGAAGTGGGAAGGATAGGGGAAAAGAAAGAATGGAATGGAATTAATATTAGAAAAAAATGGAAACAAAGTCTTTGTAAATAGTGAGGGGTGGAGGGGTTGAAGGGAGAGCACAAGAATGGGGAAAAAATAAGAACCAAGATGGATTATGTAAAGGTGCAAATTTCCAATGATGAATATCATTATATTGTATACCTAAAATGTACCGATAAAATAAATTTAAAAAATAATTGAATATAATCTTCAATTACTTTAGTTCTTTTTTATACAATTTCTGCTTGAGCCTTTATATCACATTAGATTCATTAAGCCTCTTTGTCATATCTATGTTTATCTTTCTCAGATCTTCCCAGTACCTCGGAGAAATTTATTTTTTTCAATATACAATGCCAAATTCTATCTTTACCTAGAAGTGTCACTTCTCATAAAACATAATACTGCATGCTTTAATCAAATGAACATTGCTAGATATACTTACTTTATCAATATATGTGTTAATGGCTTAGCATGGCATTTGCTCTTAAATATTTTACACTGTTAAAATTATGAGAGGTACAGAACATCATATTTATTTTGTAATGAAGTTGATGTTGTAAGAGAACATAAGTAGAATGGAATTTGAAAAACTAAAGTAGCCTTCCAAGAGCAGTCATCATTTATCATGAACTTTTAAAGAAAATACAAGATTCAAGGGTGCTTTGATGAGAGGAATAACATATGCAATAAAACTATGTTCTACAGAAAATTTCCGCATGTTATAATAATTAATAATAAATTATTTATAAATGTAAGCTGCTATCATTTTTGGCACAAATACTTCAACCTCTGTGTTTGGTTCTAATTATGACATAGCTTATTTACTCTGACTCTTAGAAGTTATACTAATTTATTAAAATTTAAATGTATATTTTATATCTCTATTTGAGGAAATTTTATATATTTAACCTGTAAATTAAATTTTCAAAATTCTAGTAGTGTCAATTTTCACCAAGTTTATTATGTATGGCTTCCATCAAATAACAATCAGTCACTTTAACCAATGCATTAGACATGTATGTACATTTATATATCTATACAGGTAGTGAATATCTTACCAAATTTTTGTCTTCGCTTCTATACTGCCATTCCTCTGCTGCCAATCTACCTTCATCTACCATTGAGTCCAAGTATCCACTGAAGCTCTTTTGAACACTATACAATAATCTTGCCTTTTCAGAAATTTCATATAAAAGAATCCTCAAAATTTGAACTCTGTATCCAGCTTCTTTTGTTCAACAAAATGTTTCCATGTATCTATGTAATTGGATGCATCCAGTTTGTTTCTAATGCTACTACATTTAGTAGTGTTTACCTCTCCTATTCCAATAATTTAGTGTTTGTATTCCCTGAACAATTTTTCCACAGAATGAATCATTCACATTCGTCTGTGTGAAAAGTGAGTTCATTAGAATCCCAACCCTGAAACCATGTAATATTCCATTATGTCCTATTGAAATCAACTATCTTCAAGAGGGGAATTGATTGGGAGTGGTTGTCCCCTTATGTCTTGTGGATTCTAGTCCTCAATTCCCATTCTCCAGGCAAAGGTACTTCAGAAATTGTCCCTGGAGGAAAATAAGAATCATTCCCTATCTCCTTGCTCCCTTTAAGGGGCCACCTCACCTGAATCTCAATTCACTCACTGTATTTGCTTTGTAATGCAGCAGGCTCCAAGATTCAGTCTGTTTTCAAAGACCTGACAGAGCCAAAGTTTGAATGTTGCTGACATAATTGAGGAAATTCAGAAACAATTCAGGTTGCAGCCCTGAAGAGGTGTTTATACGACATGTTAGTGGGCAATGGCAGGTAAATTCAGTAACTTCTAAGATAATGCTTACCAGTATTCTTAATAGTAAGTAGGTAATTCTTAAACATTTAGAGAAAAGCTTACTATGGATGTCACATTAGCTCACCAGCCTGACTACAAAGAAGTTTGGAAAGCAGTACCCTTCACTCCTCTTCCAACTACAAATTTTGTAAAGTCCTCTTATTGACTAACAGTATTCAGAATCATACTGAGTAGATGACATTGGGAAGTCACTGCCCAGTACATCCTCTGCTCTTAAAGAATGTCTAGGGATGTCACATGTAATGTTTACTTTGCAATATAAAATTCCATGTAGGCTCTTTGAAAATAACCAGAGTCAAGGTCTCAGAAGTTGGAAATCACTGCTTCTATTACTGTTTCTGTTCAGAGTGAGGTCAGTGCTGGTTATAGGTTTGAAAGGAAGAGATGCATTTTGAATCATTTCATTCAATTTTCTGTCATTATATGAGACTATTTTGATATCCTGGCCATTATGAATGCTTAAATCTATGAAGTGCATTCATGTTATTTCAGGTTTTCTGATAACTTATTTGGAAACCACAGTTCCTTTTTTTTTTTGGAAACCATAGTTTTATAGGACACATTAGATAGTTTCTGGTGTAGGAAAATGTTAGAAAAAAGATTACTACACATGAGAAAATATAAAAAAAAATTTTGCTGAGCTAAATATGTTTACATTTTAAATTTTATATCTCTATATGTTCCAAGGTGAACAAGACTACTCCTGTAAGTTCAAGAAAAAATTCTTTTCATTCAGCAAATCTCAGAGTTTAAAATGCAATTGTTTACATAGTTCCTTTATTATCTCAAAAAATGGAGGTCAAACAACTTGTGATGGGATTTTGTTCTGCTGACCTATTTGTATAAGTGGGATTTTGAAGTCTCCCACTATGAAGGTATTTTCGTATGTCTGTCCTTTTTTTGTCTGGAAATTTTTATTTTGTGGAGTTTGTTGCACTACAATCTGATGCATTTTTTATTTAATATTTTTATCTATTACAGTTGAATTTTTCACTTTGCAAGTTATGGCTAGGTTAGTCTCTTCTGATGAATTTTGGCTTGAAATCTACTGGGTCTGACAATAAAATAGTTGCTTCTGGTTCAGTCTATGTGCTTCTTTTTGGATGAGGAATGCATTGGATGCAACATACGGATATTGGTCTGCCAGTCTGAGTCTTTGATTGTGGAATTAAGAACATTGACATTGAGGTTAGTTATTATGAGGTATTTACTGAATCCTGTCATTGCATTAATTCTCCAGTGCCAATCGCTTTTTTTCCTTTTGTTTCACTACTTCCTCCATTAGATATATGCTTTTCTTTGTGCTCTTTGATACTGGTAGACTCCCTTTCTCTGTCTAGGATTTCCAGTAGTACTTCCAGGAAGCTCATATGAATATGTAGCTTGTACTGCATGTCATATTCAGAGTGAGTTCATGTTACACAGTCAATTATAAATTGGTTCATGGTTTAAGTTCTCAAGTATTTTGGAAATGCATCATAAGAGCCTTTTGAGGGTTTTCTGCTTGACTTGGGTCTAGATGGGTGAAGTAAGGGTGAGTTTTGTCTGACATTTAATTTTATATGGCTACCTAGGTGGGCTACAGAATAACCAAATGACAGTGGTGTCTGTGAGGGTGTTTTCAGAAGACATTAGCATTTCATTTAGTCCATTCACTGAAGATGATCTTCCCTATTGTGGGTGGAGATTACCTTGTCCATTGAGGGTTCACAAAGAACAAAAAGGTAGAGAATGTATGAATTTTCTCTCTTACTTGACCTGAACTGAGAACCCCATCACTCTTGCTCTTCAACAGTATTCAGGCCTTTGGAGTCAGACTAGGACTCAAACACTTGATCCTTCAACCCTGGAACTCTGGGCTTGGATTGAAGGTACACCACTGACTTTATTAAACCTCCAATTTTTAGATAGTCACTCATAGGACATTGGCTACCATAACTGCAGGAATCAAACTCTCATAATAAATCTCTCTTGGTACATCTTTATCTCTGGGCTATTAAACTCTATTACCCATAATGTTAAAGAAAATAATTCACATAGGGGATAAACTAAAATGATGAAGTGGCTGTTCTACAAATTCTTCTTACTCTTAAGTCTAACATTAGAAAATATTTACTTTTTAAAGTGAATTCTGGGCACTGTACCTTATTTACCTCTTTTAGAGATTGTGCTTGGCTTTGTTTAGAAATGATTTTCTTTTTCAAAACTTCTTCAAATTTGTGTACATTAATTTGTACACTTCAGATAGCATATGGTAGTCACAGCATCTGGTACATAGAACATTGTCAAACCTTTACAAAAATATTAGTTAAAGTATATTTTTATAAGGCTACTGTAAATTTTCTTGAAGATATGATGGTGGAAAATGTAATCCTCTAGTTGCAGATTCTCTAGCTGGCAATCAGGTTGCATTTCAGTGATCACTGACTTCATAAGTGCAAAGCTCAATCTATTCTTGGATTATAGAGGTTTCCATCTGTACAACAGTTTTCTACTCAAGATAATATCCTTCTTCAACTGCTCTAATAATTGCCAGGTAAATTCACAACATCCACATATGTGGGTCTTTTCAATTTCCTATCACAAACTGTCTTTAGAGATTGAAAAGACATTTTTATGTAGAGTTTTGAGTGGGAAAATGGCACAAACATGTCTGAAAGTAATTATCCTTTCAGCACTTCATCAGAAAACTGTCCCAGTAGACATCTGCTGGGCACT